GAAGAAATGGAGTGATGAAGAGACTACATGTGAGTGGAACCCAGAAAGCCATGCCTTAGGATTCTCCTTCATGGTAGGATGACAGATGTGTGCCACCATGCCCACTTTTTCTGGTGCTAGGGGTGGAATCCAGGGCCTTGAGTTCGCTAGGCAAGCACTCTAGCAACTGAGCTACATTTCAAATCCCCTTTTCCTTCTCTGTCGTCTGTCTGTCTGTCTCTCTTTCTACTTCCTCCCCTGGCCTCGAACTCAGAATCTTCCTTCCCTAGACCTCCTGAGTGATGGGTGAATTTTTAATCAGTGACATGCATTCTCAGTTTTGATGGATAGTATCACGGTCCACCACTATCAAACCGGAAATGTGGACATCACTGGAGTCACCTTGACTCTCCCTCACCCCTCAAGGTTAATCGCCCACCAAGCACTATTAATTTCGCCTCTTTTTTCCAATCCATCCCCCCTCTCTCATTGTTACTACCATTGACCTAATTCAAGTTCCCATAATCTCCCAGAGACAACTGGTCTGTCTGCGTCCCATCTAATCCCCTTTCAATCCATCTTTCACACACTGCTAGGACATTCTTCCTCAGGCGTGTGTTTGACTGCGTCGCTCTCCTCCACACTTCCCGCCCCTACTCCCCAACCGCCCAGTTCATCCTGCTTAAATTCTGAGTAGAACATTCCAGACGTTTTGTTCCCCGTGTGACTTGCAGCCTTCATTTTGACCTCTCCTCCAAACCTCCATCCACACCCTGTGCTCAAGCCCCAGTGACCTACTTTCAGTCCCCCAAAAACAACATGCTTTATCAAGCCCCTCCCCATGCACGGAACACGTTCTCCTCTTTGCGCCAGCCTGGGGAAACGAATGCATCTTTGAAATTCAGTTGGTGACTCATTTCCCCTGACTTGGCCCCAGCCATAGTCCGACACCAGCTCATAGCTGCCTCTCCCTCCAATTCCCCACAATCCCTTGGTCACATTGACATATGGCACATACTAGCTTGCCTGCCTCCAACCGGCAGTGGGAGGATCTCTCTGAGAACACACTGCCTTCTTCTATGTGTCTTTGCATTCTTCGGGCCTAACATAGACTTAAAATAGGAGCTTGGCGTTTGTTGAATGAGCAGGGGACCGTTTTACAGGTACTTGAGGTCGGACAAAGTTGTGACACAGGAGCCTCTGCACAGAAAGTATGCTGGTTTACCTTGAAGAAAGGCCCTAGCCATTGTTTGCTTTTAGTATGACATTTTGCTCACTCATTCAACAATTAAGCTCCTACATTGTTTCAGGTCTTGCACAACCTTTTTTATTTTATTTTTGATTAGGAGGTATTGTGTTAAGCGAGACGATCAGATGCAACCTCTAACAAGGACATTCTCTAAGAGCTTTAAAGCTGTTTGAAATTGAAATAGGAAATTTTTTCTGAAGTCCTAGGCTTCAGAATATAGAGTGATATAAATATGTCATTCTACCAAAGACAAGTTTAAATAACTCTTGGAATAATCTTACAGTGACTCTCCCACTCACACACAACCCAAGACTTCTTTAAGATAAGTAGAATGGGGGACCTGGAAAGATGTCTCAGAAGTTAAGAGCGCTTACTGCTTTCACCCACATCTGGGGATCTGCAACCATCTGTTAACTCCTGCTTTAGGAGATTCGAGTCCCAGAACCCACATGGCATAATGAGAAAACGGATTTCCACAAGTTGTTATCAGTCCTCCACACATGGGCTATGAATGTCTACCCATCCCCCCAATAAAAAAATTAAACAGAGATGGGGGGAGTTACCATTAAAAAAAAGTAAAGCCAGGTATGGTGGCACACGCCTCTAATCTCAGCACTCAGGAGGCAGAGGCAGGTGGATCTCTATGAGTTCGAGGCCAACCTGATCTACAGAAAGTCTTCCAAGACAGCCAGAAACCCTGTCTCAAAAACCACCAAAAAAAAAAAAAAGAAAAGAAAGAAAAAGAAAAAAAATAAGACTGGCATGACGGAGACCTACCACTTGGGGGCAGTGCTTCTCCAGAAACGAGGCATCCCAGACCTAGGCCTTTAGCATGAATTCTACAGAATTTTAGTAAAACTGTAACATGATAGGTTCTCTTTCATAAGAAGGAGGAGGAGGAGGAAGAAGAAGAGGAAGGAGAAGGAGAAGGAGAAGGAGAAGAAGAAAACAACCTAGAGAATGATCAGGGTGGGAGAACACTTATTTAACATGGATGAGGTCCTGGCTTTGAATGTCAGCATAGCAGCAACAAAATCCATAGGAGTGAAAGGTAGGATTTAGGCATCTCTTCAAGCTTTTCTTGGTCTTTAGCATCTATTTTGTTTATCTGCCATGGGACAAATCATAACAGAACACTTGACAATGGCCTGAACATGTTAAGTTCTGTTTTTCTCAGAAATTATTTTTATTTATTTATTTATTTTTGGTTTTTCAAGACAGGGTTTCTCTGTGTAGCTTTGGAACCTGTCCTGGAACTCACTCTGTAGCCCAGGCTGGCTTGGAACTCACAGAGATCCGCCTGCCTCTGCCTCCCGAGTACTGGGATTAAAGACATGTGCCACCACTGCCCGGCTACTTTTATTTTTTGTGGTCATTTTTTGTGTATATGATGCGTGTGAGTGCAGCACACATGTACCGTAACGTCCATGTGGAGGTCCGAGGGTAACTGTGGGGAGTTAGGGCTTTCCTTCCATTGTGGGTCCTAGGGACGGAACTCTGGTTATTAATTTATGGGACATGCACCTTTACCTGCTGAGCCATCCTGTAGGCCTAGAACCGGTTTGTCAAGACTGATTCTGTGTGCTGTATCAAAATCCAAAGTGCCTAACTTTTTGGAAGACAAGACTAATGGATGAAAATAATTTTTTATTTATTTTGATATGTATGGGTGTGTTGCCTGAATGTACGTCTGTGCTCCGTGTTTGTGCCTGTTGTCCATGGCGGCTAGAAAAGGACATCAGATCCCCTGATACTGGAGTTACAGACATGTGTGAGCTGCCATGTGGGTGATAGGAATTGAACCCTTGTCCTCTGGAAAAGCAGCCAGGGCTCTTAACCTTTGAATCATCTCTCTAGCTCCTGAAAGTAATTTTTTTTTTTTAGACAGAAGTATTATTGGGGTAACCAGAACAGAGAAGAAGGGAGACATCAGAGGGTGCTTGCTCTCTGTGAACTCTGAAGTCTTAAGGTACAGGGTGTGACACTGGTGTGACACTGGTGTGTGTGTGAGCTCTGAAGTCATAAGGAACAGGGTGTGACACTGGTGTGTGTGAGCTCTGAAGTCATAAGGAACAGGGTGTGACACTGGTGTGTGTGAGCTCTGAAGTCATAAGGAACAGGGTGTGACACTGGTGTGTCACTGGCTCTACTTGTTACTAGTTTCTTTAAAGTCTGTTTTTCTCATTTGCTTAAACAGAGATGATTATATTACCTACCTTAAGGCTTACTCAGAGATTAGGAAAATGACAATTATAAAATTCTGTCCAGGGCCTGAAGAGATGGCTTAGCAGTTAAGAGCACTGACTGCTCTTCCAGAGGACCCAGATTCAGTTCCCAGCACCCACATGGCAGCTCACAACTGTCATACACTCAGACAAAACATCAATGCAAATAAAATAAAAATACATTATTTTAAAAAAGAAGTATAAAAAGCTAGGTGGCGGTGGCACACGCCTTTAATCCTAGCACTCGGGAAGCAGAGGTAGGCACATCTCGGTGAGTTTGAGGCCAGCCTGGTCTACAGAGTGAGGTCCAGGACAGCCAGAGCTACACAGAGAAACTCTGTCTTGAAAACAAAACAAAACAAAAAGAAACAAAACTTCAAAAATCCTGTCCATTGTTTCTGTCACAAAGAGCGTGGCCAATAAAGGTTGGTCCTCCAAATGCTGAAGAAGTGCTACGGATAGCTGTATGTTTATGAATCATTAATGTATAGTCATTGTAAAATAGGTAAAAGGTGAAACAGGAGGATGGGACTCTGTTTTTGCAATCCTGGAGCCTCATTTACTTCGGGGGCCTCATGCAAGCTATGCAAGAGCTCTCCTACGGAGCTACACCCCCAGCTCAAGACCCGTAGGGTGCAGAAGTGGGTTGAGATGTGGTGAAGAAATGGAGTTGTTTTATTATTATTATTATTATTATTATTATTATTATTATTATTATTATTATTTTATCTGAATGTAGATTCAGGAAAGGCTGGAAACTTTAAAGGAGAGGCCAGTATGAGGGGTGACCAGTCATCTCCCGTATGCCTCTGCACAGGTTCTAGGGATGTGAGGCCCTCCGTGCTACAACAGAGAAAGTCCTCAGCAAACTGGGCCGGCCGAGTTGGTCACCATACCAGTAGAGGTGTGTGTGTGTGTGTGTGTGTGTGTGTGTGTGTGTGTGTGTGTGTGTGTGTAGGGTAATAAACACTCAGATTTTTCTTTCCCTGTGCCAGCTGGTTTCTTTACAATAACCTTGTCAGTAGCTTTAGCACTGGCCTGACCATGCTGAAGCCAAACGGCAGGGCGGCTGGGGCCATCCAGCAGGGTCAGTCTTGCCTGCCCATAGAGCAGAGCAAATTAAGGGCAAAGAATCGACCACAAGAGGCAAAAACGTAACTCTGTAGGTTAGGATTGCTCCAGGGATGAACTGACGGAGAAAGCCTCCGACAGGATCTCAGGCTCCCTTAGCTAAAAATCAGGTGTGAAACACCCCCCGGGATACCTAGAGACTTCTCCCTAGTTCACTTCCTGTCTGGAAGTTTCATCACTCCTCAAATTGCGCCTGGTGCGACCCACGGAACTAAGACAAAGATCAAAAGTCCAAGAACACCATTCACAAGATACCTTCTTTCCAAGCCATAGCGCCGGACCTCTTCGCACCCGGACACCCCCAGCCACCCCAAAGCCACTCCTAGATCTGGTTGACAACAGCAGCCGCGACCCGCCAAATCAACCCAAATTACATTTGCAGGGCCGGCTGGAGGCGCCTCCTGATTGGCAGGACGGTAGGGGGTGGGGCCTCGGCGGGAAACGCTCCCTCGGATTGGTCCAAACTATCGAGGGTGGGTGCTGTAGTGCGTCTAGGCGCGAAAGCTCGAACTCCGCTGCCGGGCTGGAGACAGCGGGAGCGGCCGCCCGCAGGTTGAGGCTACTGAGGACCGGTTCTCCCGGAGCTGCGCGGTAGGGAGGCCGGAATCATGACCGGCGAGGTGGGTTCCGAGGTGAGTTTAGGCTCCAGCCGGGGCTGTGGAGGACGCTCGCCGAGGGCGGAGTGTGACAGGGGAGCCAGCGGGGCCAGAGCGCCGAGCCCGGAGGACTACAATTCCCGGCGTGCACCGCTCCGAGACCCCTGGGCTGGGTAAGGGGGCCTGGGCCTCGCTCGGGTCTCCCGGCGGCTTCCCGCGCTCGGTCCTTGAGGCTCCTGTCGCGCGCTTCTGCCGGCCCAGCCGGCTCCTCGGTTCGTCACGGCAGCCCGCCCTGCTGCTCTTTGGCGCGTTTCCTGCCGCGCAAGCTCCTTTTACAGCATCCCCGGCAAAAAAAAAGGAGGCCTTGGCCAGCTGGCCTGGAGGATGTGGGGTGGGATTCTGTGTAAGCGCAGGGTGAGGGGGGTACGAAGTTGGAAGCGGCTCTGGAAGGCACCTCGGAGGGTCTCACGCGTGGGCCCGCTGTGTGTTTGCCAGCAGTGCTTCCCGCGCGGCGTCCCCCCTGGTAGCTGACGGCTCACTGGTGGGATTTGGCCATCGGAAACCGTTTCGGGAATCTGTGTTCTTTTCTGGAGCCAGGACAAGGACCGGACGGTTGCCTTGGGAACAGAAATGGGGTACCAGAAAAGCTAATCACCAAACGAAAGCCGTATTTTGACATCGTTTCCGTGATTAGATACTGAACAAAATATCAGACTTACATCAAGATGAGATCTCATCCTGCACCAACCTGTCTGCTCACCTCACCCGAACCCAAGAAAAGCCTTGGTTTCAATAAAATTATTTACAAGGGCAGGTGGCTGGCTTCATAAGCAATACTTTTGCTTATTCTTAAAGAAAAAAACAAAAAACAAAAACCTGAAAGTAGGAGAGGGTATTACTAGGGACAGAGAAGGGTACCAGAGAGATGGGGAGTCAAAGTTAGAATGGTAGATGAACAAAATTACTGCATGATGCGTGAGTGAGTGAGTGTGTGTGTGTGTCACAGCAGGGCCTGAGAGATGACTCATGAGTAAAGGCACTTGTTGCCAAGCCTGACAGTCTGACTCTAGCCCCAGGATCCACCTAGTAGACGACTTCTGTAAGTTGTCCTCAGATTTCCATACTCCCTCACCATACATGCCCATATATACCATACACAAAATAAATGATGTAATTTAAAGAATTAAAACGGGCTGGAAAGATGGCTTGTTACATAAGAGCACTTGCTGCTCTTCTAGAGGACTTGCATTTGTTCCTATCACCCACACAGTGGCTCACAACCATCCATATTCCAGTTTGGGGCATCCAGTGCCCTCTTCTGACCTTCATGAGTACCAAGCATGCATGCAGGGCCCTTACATGCACACAGGAGAAACACTCATACACAAAAACTAAATAAATCTTTTTTAAAAAAAATTAAAAGGGGCTGGAGAGATGGCTCAATGGTTAAGAGCACTTGCTGTTCTTACAGAGAACCCTGGTTCTATTCCCAGCATCCTCATGATGGCTAACTACAGTTCTAGGGGCTCTCACGCCCCCTTTTGGCCTCCACAGGCACTGCATGAATATGGTGTGCGGATGAGACATCCATACACATAAAACAAATAAACCTTCTTTTCAATTTGAAAAAGGAAACAACATAGGGAATCTGATTTGTGCAGTTAGTGTGTTTAATAATTAAAAGTAAAAGGAGTTGTTCAGTTAGCATCCTGTAGCAATTAATTTATGGTTTTGTTTTGGCCAGTAATTCTAAATGACATCCCTTTATGGAATCATTGTTTTGGTTCTGTCCAGTTGCAGCTAGATGACCCCGTGTTTGTGGATCCACACATACTCGGAGCTCTGTCTTCCTGTTGGTGCAAAATTTGTTCTCATTTTCTAGGTCAACCTGGAAGTCAGTGATCTAAAACTGGTTTCACAAGAATCAGCGGACAGTCCTGTAGACAGCGGACAAGGCAGCTTTGAAACACTCGAGCCCCTGAGTGAAAGAGGTTTGTAATATACCTACATTAATCTTAAGAATGGAATGTGGGGGCCTGGGTTGTAAGCTATTTCAGTTAATCTCATTATTGTCTTGGCTTATCAAATTGTTAGTGCCCCAACTTTATTATTTATTTTACAGATACAAAACAACAGTGCTTACATAGTTTTTTGTTTGTTTGTTTTAAAGACAGGGTTTTTGCTTTCAAGACAGGGTTTCTCTGTAACAGCCCTAGCTGTCCTGGAACTTGCTCTGTAGACCAGGCTGACCTTGAGCTCACAGAGATCCACCTGCCTCTGCCTCCTGAGTGCTGGGATTAAAGGTGTGCACCACTACCACATGACCATAGATTTTTTTAAAGAATATCCATTTCTGTTATATAACTGAATAGATAAAATGTCTAATAGTTGCTACATTGCCTGGTTAAATTGCATTCATTATAGAAAAGGATTTCTAACACTTGCCAGGATGATTAGAACAACTTTACACATTATAAATATATATAATTACATTTTTAGCAAGAGAGGTTTTGCCACAGAAAAGAATTTTTTAGTATATTTTTAGATATGCTTTGCCACAGTTAGTTCTTAATGGTGGTTGTGTAATTCTACAAGGTGACATATCACAGGTATAATTAAATATAATTTTAACTAGCTAGGAAGAAGGCCAAATGATTGGGTACCTTCTTTAAAAAAAAAAATGTTTCCTCCAGATTCTGACGAAGAGATATTTGTGAGTAAGAAAACGAAGAGCAGGAAAGCGCTGCAAGACAGTGATTCTGAGGCCGAGGACAGAGATGCCTCTCCAGAGAAACCCACCTATGACAGCGCGGAGGAGAATAAGGAGAACTTACACTCGAAGAGGAACAGGAAGGTCAAAAGCCTTTCTAAGACTCTGGCCGACAGCGACGAGAGTAGCATGGAGGGAACTGTGTGTCAGGAGAATCCCGACACTCAAGACACACCTTCCTTAGAGCTGAGCCTCCAGTCTGGAAGCCCCGTGGACCTCACCACTGACAGAAAGCTTGCCAAAAAACTCTCCAGAGAAGGAACTGAAGGAAAAGCAAAAGCAAAATCCAAGAGACGACTCGAGAAAGAGGAGAGAACGATGGAAAAAATTAGGCGGCTAAAAAAGAAGGAAACAAGATATGAGGTGTGTTGTGATTTTCTGAACCTTGTAATCCTTCTTGTCGTTGTTATTTTTGAGGCAGGGTCTCCCCATGTAGCCTCGACTGGCCTGGAACTTGCTTTGTAGACCAGACTGGCCTTGAACTCACAGAGATCCGCCTGCCTCCGCCTCCCTAGTGCTGGGATCAAAGGCGGGCGCCATCAGCCTAGCAGTCATTTTTCTGAACTTTATAATGCAGTCTTTATTCATTTATTCATTCTTCTATAATGTATTTTTACTTGACCGGTAATTGCACATACTTAGGGGTACTGTGACATTTCAGTGCATGTGTGCCGCATGTAAGGATCAGGTCAGAACAATTGGCAAACCTATTGCCCCCAGCAGTTGGCATTTCTTTGTGCTGGGCACATTAAAAATCTTGTCCACTGGTTATGTTGAAATACTGAATTAATAGTTGTCAACCCATAGTTATCTTACTGTGTTATAGGACCTTAAGAGTTATTCTTGGGAGCTGGAGAGATGGCTCAGTGGTTAGGAGCACTGACTGCTCTTGCAGAGGACCTTGGTTCAATTCCCAGCACCCACATGGCAGCTCACAACTGTCTGTAACTCCAGTTCTAGGGGACCTGATACCCTTACACATATATACATGCAGACAAAACCCCAATGTACATAAAATAAATAATTATAAAAAGTGTTATTCTTATCCATCCATACTCCTGTATCCACTGACTGTATCTCTCTATAACCCATCCAAGGCCCTGCTATTCTCTTCTACTCTTTTTTTTTCTTTCTCTTAATGTGTATGTGTTTGTGTGAGTTCATGTGCACCATGTGGGTGGTACGGGTGCCTGTAGGGGTCAGAGGTGTCAGATCCTCTGGGAACGGAGTTAAAGTCGGTTGGAAGCCACCAGATAAGGATGCTGGGAACTGAACCTGGGACCTCTGCAACAGGAGCAAGTGCTCTTAACTGCTGAGCCGTCATTCTAACCCAAAATGAACTTCTTAATTTCCACATATGAGTGAGGCCATGTGATGTTTCTCTTTCTAGTTTGAACATAATGTCCTTGTCTTAGTTAGGGATTCTATTGCTGTGAAGAGACACCATGACCAAGGCAACTCTTATAGAGAAAACATTTAATTGGGGTGGCTCACTTACAGTTTCAGAGTTTAGTCCATTATCATCATGGTGGGGAGCGTGGCAGCGTGCAGGCAGACACGGTGCTGGAGAGGTAGCTGAAGTGCTATGTCTTGCAGGCAACAAGAAGTTGACTGAGACACTGGACCGTATCCTGAGCATAGGAAACCTGAGCCCATTCCCACAGTGACACACTCCCTCCAACAAGACCATACCCAACAAAGCCATGTCTCCTAATAGTACCATTCCCTCTTGGATTATGGGGCCAATTACATTCAAACTACCACAGTCCTCTAGTCCCGACAACATTGCTGCAAATGACAGAATTTCATTTTTGAGGAGTATGTATGGATATTTTACATATGTACTTGTTAAGGTAATTAGGTGTCATTTTTTCAGATAGATTAATGTTTTAAAAATGTAGGTTTTAGTTCCTAAGATTGTTTCTACACACAAAATATAGTTTTAAATTGACTGCTTTGCATAAAGAGTGATGGTCATATAATTTACAGTTATTTGATCTTCTTTGCCATTGTGGATGCATGAAAGACACTTACAAATAGATGGGTTTCTGGTTTCTTGGTGTGTTCTTGTAGTAATTCTTTGTTGCTGCTCCTCTGATGAAATTGACTTTGAAGGGATGATTTTTTTAAAAAACACACATCAATCAAAAGTTCATTTGTTAGCTGAGCAGTGGTGGTGCACACCTTTAATCCCAGCACTCAGGAGGCAGAGGCAAGCGGATCTCTGTGAGTTCAAAGCCAGCCTGATCTATAGAGTGAGTTCCAGGACAGCCAGGGCTGTTACACAGAGAAACCCTGTCTCAGAAAAACAAAAACAAACAAACAAAAATCCAGCTTTGATTTCAGAGGGTAAGTGTAGGATAGGAACCAGTGAGAATGTTCTAGATGAGCTATATTGTCTGTTGATGAAAGGTGGGCTCTGTTGTCTGTTTCAAATTGTCATATGATGTTGTGAAATGCTAGACTTTAAAATGATTGGGTTATGCCTTTTCTTTGTTGTCCAGGAAAGTGATGCAGACCAGCCGCTTAATGACAGTGGCTGTCGTCTTGAAGATAGTGACCTTTTTGAAACAGGTTTGGAAGAAGAAAATGACTCTTCATTGGAAGACGAAGAGTCATTAGAGTCGATAAGGGCAGCTGTGAAAAACAAAGTGAAAAATCACAAGGCAAGTGAGAAGAACGTCCCAGCCTAGCCCACCTCTTCCAATCTTTGGTTTCTTGATTTACTCTTGCAACTTTCATTTTTTTTTAAACTTAATTTCTAAAAGATTTGTTTTTATGTATGGGGGTTTTTGCTTGCATATATTCTGTGTACCACATGGGTACAATGCCCATGGAAGCCAGAAGAGGGCATCGGATCCCCCTAGAACAGGAGTTACAGATGGTTGTAAGCTGCCTTGTGGGTGCTGAGAATCAAACCTGGGTCTTCTGCACTTTGGCTCAGTGGGCAATATCGCTTGCTGCCCAAGCATGAGGAGCAGAGTTCAAATCTCCAGGACCCAGATTAAAAAAAGCAATGTGTGGTCATGAGCTGTAACCCCAGGACTGTGGGAGGCAGAGGCAGGAAGATTGCTGGGACTTGGTGATCAGCCTAGTCCCAGATTCAGTGACGAGACCCTGTCTCAAGACAGCAAGGTGGGGGCAATAGAGTAGGAGACCTGCCAGCCTTCTCTGGTCTCCATGTGTACACCAGTGCACAAATAAACATGCATATACAGCAGATGTGCACGCATGCATACAAACACACACACACACACAAAAGATCAAACAAAAAAAAAGGAATATTTTAGTTAGCTTTCCGTTGGTATGATAAACACCATGGCCAAAAGCATGTTGGGGAGGAAATGGTGTATTTGAGCTTACACTTGCAGTCCAGCATGAAGAGAAGTCAGGGCAGGAACTGAAGCAAAAGTTATGGAGGAGTGCTGCTTACTAGCTTGCTCTCTATATCTTGCTCACCCTGCTTTTTATACAAACCAGGACCACCTGTCCAGGGACCGTACCTCCCACAGGGGACTGGGCCTCTCCTCCATTAAGGACTAATCAAGACAGTACCCACACTGACTTGCCTGCAGGCCAATTTTTTTTTTTTTTTTTTGTATTTGGATTATTTTTGTATTA